AAGCCCTGTTGGTGAACTTGCTTCTCCATTGATGGGAAAGGAGATGTGACAAGCTGTATAAGTAATACAAAGTTAATAAATATTCCTCTGGAAACAGATTGGCTTACTGTTGGCACTTAGTTGTGCTTTTCTGCTGTCTCATTCTGCCAGTAGTGTCATTTATTGCACTTACCATTCTGATTATGTCTTTGTGGGCAATGTTGCTGGCGGCCTGACTAGTAACATGATAATAGTGCTATCAGAATAGCTCTCTGGAGACAGCAGGTCCATCTTTTTAGGTTAAACCAAAATTCTGACTTTATGTAGATGATATATGAACAGTGGGTTGTTGGCAACCAATCTATACATTGTGCAGAACAATACAATTCCAGCCCAGTTTATGTACATGTTTATACATGTTTATTTAAACTTGTACTTAAAAAAATGTTCATCTTATCTAGGAGGTCATTGATACAACCCTTTTTTTCTTCCTTATCTATCTCTGAAAAAGTTAACTGCATTTCTGCATTTTTTGGTTTTGTCTTTGTTTTCTTGATTTGTGTTGCTTTCATATCTGCTGCCAGTAAATCTGAGAATTTTTTTTAAAGCATTTTAAAGTTTTGTTGTTTTTTTTTGTTATCTTGGGAGCTAAAATAGAATAACTTGGAAAGAGTAGAGCAAATGTAAGACATTTCTGTTTTAAATATGGAACTCATAGTAAGTATGGTACTACAGTAGTACCAATCATAAAACCAAACCCACTGTAAAACCAAAACTATTGTCAATTGAATTAAGTCATGGATCTTTTCCTGCCTGAAGGTTTTATTTTCCTTTGTTTTGGTTAGAAAAACCACTGCAGATGCAACCAGAGTTTATTTATCCAAGGAACAATACAATTGAAGTAGAACTTGGTAAGTAGTAACTATTTAAGAGATCATTAACTTTAAGTGAAACAAATAAGCTCCTGGTCTTTACAAAATGATATGTGAACAGTTCCACAGATTTCAGTGGGACTGAAGTTTGTGGATTGAAGAGAATATCTGGACAGAATATCTGGACGACAGAGGATAGATAATAGAATGTGATTTCCCAGAAATAAGTTGTCAGGGGAAGTAACTGTGCCTAAGATTGCAGTCTCTTGACCAGCACTGTTGTGCAGGATGCATTTATTTATTTATTTATTTATCTATCTATCTATCTATTTATTTATTTATTTATTTTCTGTTATCTCCATCTGTCCTTTTTACCACTTCTCAGTGTTTGCGTCATATGTGGAATATATATTTCCATATATATTCCACATATGTGGAAATATACTGAGACACAGTATATGTGGTTTATGTACATGTAGCACGTTAGGATAGTTAGCAGTTGACCACTTCAGTAGCTCTTTCTCTTTCTGTATGCTTCCCGTCTCCCTTCCCTCTCCACAACCTGGATTTTATTCCTTGTTTTAGAGTAATACAGATTTTGGAAACTGATCTTTTGTGAAACAGTGAGCTGCTAGTTGATACATATCCCAGGTACTGCTTATCTTGGAAATTTCTTAAATAAGATATTCTGGGTATAAAGAATAACTTCTTCACTGGGAGGACAGCTGGGCAGTGCAGTAGGCTGCCCAGGAAAGTTACACTGTCTGTCTTTAGAAGTTTTAGAACCTGAGTGAATAAATCTCTGAGCAGCCTGGTCTGACCTCAGAATCAGGCCACACTTTGAGGAGGAAATTGAATTGAAGACCTCTCTTTTAACCTCAGTTATTCTTTAGTTCTCTGGGCCAAGTATATGGTATTGCAGTCTTAAGCAAACTTACATGTGTTTAAAGTCCACCACATACCAGACAGAATTGTGTTCTACTGACACAGTCCAGAAGAATGAGATTGGAACTGTTTGAACTGTATTTTTTAAAACCATTTTGAAACAAAGGGGACAGTTTCAAACAAAATATTTGATTTAAAAGGGCATTAACTGATTTCGGAGAAGTGTGCTTGGCTATTTACTGGAATTTCCTAGTACAGGAAACAGTTTTATAATCTTTTGAGAAATTAGATGATTAGAGAAGCTCTGAGCATTTGGACTCTGATACCACATGGGAGGTAACGCCTTTGTGGATTATTTATGTGTATCACTCTGAGGGAATCTCACATAACAGCTACTTTTGCCACTGCTTTTTCTGACATTGAGCTTGTAAATATTGTGTGTAACAGGTGTTTATTTTCTCCAGTTAAAGCTTTGTGTTTCTTTTCATATCATGTCAAATATTTTTTGTCTGTCCCAAATTCTAACTTTGAATATATGGTATTAAATTGGACAGCACTAAAACTCTGGTGGGTTTTCTGTATGTATGTTTGGAGGTATTTTGGGGTTTTGGTAGGTTTTTTGTTTGCTCATTTCTTTTATCTTTGGCCTCAATAACTTGTGAAAGATAACTTTGAAGTTGCCAGGTTCTGGTGAAGATCAGTAGATTTTGACCAGAATTGCAAATGAGTTTTAATAGAAATTATGTTCCTCCAAAGTCCAGAAGGCTTTGTTTTAAACAGTGAGGATATTCAGGATCTGATACAATAAGTATTATTTTAAAGGCTTACAGTCTTGTGGTCTTCAGATGGTTATTTAATTCTGTTGAAATAGTCTAGAATCACTCAGCAGCCCCTTCTTTTCTTGTATTTGCATCTTTTCTGTCTTCATTACAAACAATATGAAGTTTTTCATGCCTGAAAAACTTTCAGTTTACTGTTAAGGAAATTTGTTAACCAGATCTTGGATTACAACAGGGAAACTTTCCATGATAATTATTTTACCTCACATAACCCTAATCTTTATGTGAAAACTTGCCTTCTTCTTTGTAATTGTAACTATGGAAGAAATTAAGTAATGTTACAGTTGAGCTTCCCTGTTCTGTATCTCCCACCCATTAACGTATCATGTAGGTCTCATCCCCAGTTTTGACTGGTAGTTATGACTTCTCATTTAATTCAGAAAAGTTCTCACTGATGCAGCCTGCACTCAGAAGGAGTCTGATCTTCAGGCTCTTAAATTTACTGAAGGCAGTGTTAGGGTTTTTTCAATCCTTGATAGTATTTTCTGAGCAATTTATTCATCCAGGGGCTGCCTGTGACTCTCAGCCTAAGTCATTAAGACTCTGTTATGGGACAATTTGTTTAGACTCCTTATTGTAGAATTTGGTCCATGTTTGTTATGGCTTGAACACAGCATTAATTAAAAGTCATGCTGGTGTATTGTTGGATGCTTTGGACCACCTAGGATGAGCAAACCTTGACTACCTTACAGACATTTGGGCAATAGCCACTGGTGAGACTAAAAGGAGACTCCAGCCACAAAGTGGGTTTATTGTGATTACTGAGATGATTCCCTATTACAGGGTCACAGGGGGGGACACTTTTAAAAGGCATTTGGTGAGATTTGTTTTTGTTGGTTTTGAAATGACATTGCCATTGAAATATTCAATATTCTTTTTCCAGTACCTTCAATGGGTACTGGGGGAAAAAAAATAAATCCTCCTACTACATGGCTGGCTGTGGGGCAGAATCTCTAAGCAGCTGCATGAACACCTGTATGGAAATACCTTTGTGATTTTTGAATGAGAAATGTCAGGAGAAGGTTAAGTAGAAACTTAACAGTACATTCATGAATGTGTGGACACAGAGGGCATGGAACAATTGAGTGGTTTCGTTTTGGTTTTTTTTTTAATAACTGTGTAATGCACTAAACCACATCTTTAAAAAAAAAGTAGAATTGTTGTGGTGAAAGGATGTGAGGGAAGAGATCGGGGAGCATCTCTGATTTCTGTGTGAACTCTTGTTCAAGTAACTTCTTGTCATGTGAGCTAAAGGTTTATTCCATACTTTTGTTAGAGACCATCCCTTGGAAGCATCTAGATCTGATGCGGTTCTAGGAAATGAAAGACTTAAGATCTTTACATAGGCCAGCTGAGAGAGCCCACCTTCTCCTATCAAATCGTAACTTCCATGGGTAAAATACAGAAGGAATCCAAGAAAGCTGCTTACCTTCCTGTACATGGAGCTCGCTGAGGTACATTGGCAATAAATATATTTTGCAAATTGGCTTGCTTAATACTGAGGTGTTCTGTAAGATCTGGACTCTTGGTGGCAAAGGAACTGAGTGACAGGTGAGCTTGCTCTGGAAGTAAAGTGTGATAATATTCAGAAAACATCCCAGTGGACAGTGGTGGCCAAAAGACCATGATTTGGAGTAAAGATGTGTGGTCACTAGGAATGGGATTCAGCTCCCAGATGTAGTCTGCACATATGTGCATATGATCCGGGGTCTTCAACTCAGGCCAGTATCAACAGGGGCTCAATTCAGTTGCCTGCACAAAGAGTGCTTTGTGTTTTGGGTGGTCTGGCTACTCTAGCAGTGCAGTTTTCTTGAAGATCTGGAGTCCTGTCTGACAACTCCATATGGATACCTTGGATGCTGGAGAGCATCTCAGATGTCACCATAGGTGTACATGCAACTGATTTGAGCCCTCAAGATCTTTCAGTGGAGTCTGGAGTGTCGTTCAGTTTAGAAGGTACCTACTTTAATGTGCGTAGACTTCAGCAGAGATCAACTCTGTTACTAGCTTAAGACACCTAGCCTCTATGTAGATGTGAACATTTAGACACCTACATTTAGAGTGGAATTTATATCCAGATCATAGACACCCAAATTTGGATTACAAATGGATGAGTTTAAGGACTTTGCTTTTTGTAAGGTAAGCAGGTTTCTTTTATATCCCTCCTTTTCCTAGCTGTTTCCTCCTCACTTGATTCTGCTCCTATTACAAGACCTTCAGTTTCTGTGTTTGATACTGCCTTCTAATCAGCCTTTCAATGACTAGTGGCATTTGACTAGTAGTCTATAATATGTAACGTATCAAGTGGCATAAATGGCTTGATTCCATTCTGGCAAGTTAATGATGAGGACGTTGATATCTTTGATAAAACCTACAGGGAACAGTTTTATGAGTAAGTATCCTTATACATTGGATTTGTGGTGCATTTGTAGGTGAAGTAATTGCAGTAATTTACAGTGAATTCATTATAGACTACTAGTCAAATGCCACTAGTCATTGAAAGGCTGATTAGAAGGCAGTATCAAACACAGTATATTATTATTGTTAGGTTTTATTTTTATTATAAATACTGTGTCTGATACAAATGGAATGAAGCAATCATGTAGATTTTTATAATGCTATTGTGAAATACAATTTTTAATGCTTGCTTATGCATTTGTTCTTATGTGATTCTTTTCTTTTTTACTAGTATGTTAAAGCCTGTCCTCAATTATTAGTATGGGAAGGATAGATTTTTCCAAAACAAAAAAATCACCCACCCAACTTATTTTTATTTGTGAAAATGGTCCTTTTTAAGTACAGACACAGCTGCTAATCCTCAAGAACACAAGGCAGAAGCTCTTGTTGCAGGACATTTAGGTTCCAAAGTCTGACAACCTTGAAGTAAAAAAGTGTTCAGGTGGAATTTCAGATGGGAAAGTCATTCAGTTTGTGTTGATAGCCTCTTGTCCAGTCAGTGAGCACAACAGAAAAGAGCATGGCTCCCTCTTCTCCACTCCTTCCTCCCATTAGGTATTTACACGTATTGATGAGATCCATCCCCTGCCCCTGAGCCTTCTCTTCTCCAAGCTGAGCAGTCCCTGCTCTCTTACATGACAGATGCTCCAATTCCTTATGTGTCACATCACTGCACACAACTTGTTCCAGCAAATCTGTCCGTCTCTTGTACTAGGCAGCCCAAAATTGGCCCCACTACTCCAGGTGACACCTCACCAGTGCTGAACAGAGGTGAAGGATCATTTCCCTTTACCTGCTGGCAGTGTATTTCCTAATGCAGTCTAGGATGCCTGGGATCTGGTTATTCCTCTTCATATGAAGTATTTGCATTTTGTTTTGAACTTCATGAGGTTTTTTTTTTTAATTTGTCCATCCTGTCAAGATTCCTCCGGATGCTGGTTGTTTTATCAGACATCCCTTTGAGTTTTGTGTCACCTGCCAAATTGCTAACTGTGCACTCTCTCCAGCTCGGGGGGAAAAACCCAACAAACTCAAACCAAAAAAAACCCAAACCAAACAACTAAGCCCAGTATAGTTTTAGTTCATGAAATCATTAGTTACAGGTGTATGTTTACTGTGCTTTACTAGATTCTTAGGTTTATAGAGATACAAAAACATTAATTTTTTTGTATTTGTGGATAGATGAATCTGTCTCATTCAGCATAGATACTCAGATATGTACAGATATGTTTCCCTTTTACCTTTTTTTTAATGACAGAGAGGGGTTGCCTCATGGACTTGCTGTATCTGGAACAAAATTTAACATTTCAAAAGTGAAAGTAAAGGACTATGCTCATAAATTCTTCTGCCACTTCATATATGGTTCTCAACAATTTACAGCCTACATCAAATTGGAATCCCCAGGTAAGAGATCTTTTCTTGATAAAATGGTGATCACTGACTTACTTCTCAGTTAGTTTGACAATGCCCTACTTAAAGCTAAAGCAGTGTGATGTGCTTTTATGCAAAATGGGCAGTGCATCTCAGTACCTTTCTCTGTGAATTTTTTTGCCACATTCTTAGCAAAATGAAAGAAAATAGTGCTTTTGATTTGCTTTGTCTTCTCTCATTCAGTACTTTAGGACTGAAAGTAGATATGAGCTCTAACTTGTTACATGACTATAATTTCTTCATAATGATTATTGGTAGGATTTAACCTCAGAAATTCTTTAATGCATTGACTGAAAAATGCAGTTTGTGGAGGGTGTTTGTTTTAAGGACAGTAAATGAGTCAGTTCACTGACAGGTCATTGAAGGGGCAGAGGTAATGGAAAGCTAGTTGGTCTGGGGAGATTAACAGGTTGGAAAATCACCTCCCCACCTTTGACTTCCTTGCTTCCTAACTGATAGAATTTTGTACAAGAATTCTCACTCTGTTGTTGTGCTGGATTATATGTCAATATTTTATTTTGGTGTTTAAGCTGAAGAGTAGCCTCATTTATCATATTGTATTTTTTCTCTGAAAGATAAAAGTAGGCTTTATCAGATAATAGTAATGGCAGAAAGCATACATTAAACAGTTTTTCATGTTCTTTCACTTCTTCTAAAAAAAAATATTTTAATGATTAAACAATTTTGAACAATCTTTGTCTTTCCCTGTTTCTATTTTATAGTTGTACTTTATTTGTTTTCTTTCTTATTTTATGCTGCTGCAGCTCGAAACATTCAGGGATACTTAATTGGAGGAGGAGTTTCCTTGGTATTTTTAGTATTTTTTACTCTCTTTATCTACAAGATCTTCAAAATTGATATTGTCCTTTGGTATCGGGACTCCTGCCATTCTTTCCAGGGGAAAAAAGGTATGTTTATATAACAATGTTGAGTGAGGTTTTGAGCTTCCACCTTTACTTCTAAGGCAGTGAGTTACTATCATGGATCATGATTGGTCTTCCTTGGGGTTTTTAAAAGGATAGTATTGTTTTTAAGATGTTTAGAATTTGTTCAGATGATAAAAGCATCTACAGGGGTAAAAATCAGCAACTTTCCATGAATGCAGAACTATCATTGCTTTTCCTGAAGACCAATCCCAGTGGTTTGAATAATGTTCTGACAGCAGTTTTTCAGATTACTTTTAATTCCTGTTGTTACAGAAAGCAGTAATACATTAGAATTGTTAAATGTTTTTGTTTTCCATAGATGAAACAAGAAAAATATAACTTTCTTTTGTTTTCTATTTAAAGGAATTTCTGATTATTTTACTTTCTGGAAATTTTGCTTTCCTGGCATTCAAAAAAATGTTGATAGGGGTGTTGTCTGTGAGAGTATGCTGAAGTATGGGTAATTTCCAAATATCTGAGAGGAGATACTTTCTGTTTCTCTAGCCATGTATCTTCTAGAGGTATTGATATTCTCTTAGATTTTCATGGAAGTCTTTTAAATTAGTTCTTTCTGAAAAGTTTGATCCAAAATATCTAAAACAATTTGGATCTGGAAATTTGACACTTTGTTTTTGTTGTCATGTCTAAGTGGCTGCTGTGGTTTGAAACTCCAGGTTGCAACACCACCTATGAGTTATATGGCAACTGGAATTCTAAGTATCAGTTGTACCACTGGGTCCACTGTTCTTCAAATAATTCAGTGATGACACTTTTAATTTAGTGTTCAAAAGAGAAAGTTACAACTTAATTTTGCATGTCTCTTTTGCCCATTCAGATTCAGCATCCTGAATTCTAGAAAGCCTGATCCTACAAATATTTCAGGCTTTGTATAATCATACATGTTTAGCTAATATAGCAGGATTAGGACCTAAAACAATGATTCAAATGAGTGAAAACCCCCCCAGAGTTTAGAGATTTTGTTTGTTTGTTTGTTTGCTTGCTCTTATATCTTTAGAATTCATTTTTATGGAAGTTCTGTTGCTCACTCCTTAGTTTCAGATGAGAAGATCTATGATGCTTATGTGGTGTATCCAAAGAATAGAGAAAGTTGCTTGTATTCATCAGATATTTTTGCTCTGAAGATACTGCCAGAGGTCTTAGAAAGACAGTGTGGATATAACCTCTTCATACTTGGGAGAGATGATTTACCAGGAGAAGGTAAGTTAGCTGAAGACAAATTTGACTTGAGTTTTCTTGTTGACCTGCAAATAAACTGAGAAACAGGCAGTTAGATGGGATTCTAAATATCTCTCACCATCAAATGAACTTTTTTTTTTCTTTACAGTTGAAGATTTTGGTAGTGGTTTGAGAAGGAAGAGATCCCTGAGAAGTAAAATCTAAAGTGCTGCTTAATTTTTCCAGCTTGAAAAAACGCAATAGTCTGTTTTCAGGGTTTAGCCATGGGATTTATGTGTGGTATTTACCATATTTCATTTTTTGCAAGTTAACTGAATGGAATGCCATTGATGGCAGGGAATATTTTCTTCTCTTCCACTTACATGTAATAAAACCAATTGAGCATATCAGAAGAGATTGTTTAAGCTGAAAAGGTCCTGTGGTTCTGGAACTTGTTTTCTTTTTTGCATTTGTACTTATGATGGTTAGCAAGATAAGTAGTAGACAGTTGGTAGCTCTTCTCTGTTTCTGCAAAGCAAGAATATAGACAGAGAATCTGATGGGGTCAGATTGTGTTGTATTGGCCAGATCTCTGTCGTTGGCTAACCCAAGGTAACTGCTTGCATGTTCACATCCTCTCCCTATTTTGATATGAAGCGTGTTGGCTTAAATATCAAACAGTTAGTGAACTGTTAGTAGCTGCAGAATACTGGTAACAGAAAACAGAAATGTACAACCTTAATTTTGCACAATCTTTTTCTCTACAGCTGTGATCAGCGTTGCTGATGAAAAAATCCGTCAAAGTAGAAGAGTGATAATTGTTTTAGTACCAGAGCCCTCCTGTTACAGCATACTGGAAGATGAGTCTGAGAAGCAGCTAGCCATGCATAGTGCTCTTATTCAAGACAGCATTAAAGTAATTCTCATTGAACTTGAAAAAATACAAGATTATGCAACCATGCCGGAATCCATCAGATACGTTAAGCAGAAGCACGGGGCTATCCGCTGGAAAGGGAATGTCTCAGAAAGGTCCCACTCAGCAAGTACCAGATTCTGGAAGAAAGTGCGCTACCAGATGCCATCCAGAAAAAGTGGCTCTTTATTAGGATTGCATTTGTTACCAAAAGACTTGAATTTGCCTTAAATAACAAATGGGAAATGACACTTAACGACTGATCAGTTCACACAGTTGGTGATGGATTGACTGAGGGTCACATGTATCTGTTTCATGCAATCTCATACAGATTTACTGGAGTGAAGGTACTACAGCTTCATCTGCAGATGTGAATCTTTTTTTACTTCAGGCTGGACCAACAGAACACCTTGAAATAACATCAGTAGCACATGTAGGAAGTACACAAGTATTTTTCCAAGAATGATTCTGTGAAATTCCTTGGTATTAAAAGTGAAAGGGCAAAAAACTGTAAAAAATTGAAACCAATGAAGAAAATTAGATTTTTTTTTTCTGCAGTTAAAGTTTTAATACGAAGGGAATTACACTAATTATGGTTGTGATATTATATAATGAGCACGACTGGTGCCAGTAAATGTTTGTTTCTTTTTTTTTTTGTTTAAATGAAATGACACAAACTTTTTCTTTGTTACAAGTTTGTTATTTGCGTTGTTCAGTTTGTGGAAAGATAAATTCCCATATTACTGCATCAGTGTGTTACCATCCAGGAGAAAAGGTAAGAGACAATCCCAGCCCTCCAAAAGTGCTGTTGAACCTGACAAAGCTTAAATACTCTTCCCTGATCTTTTTTACATTTGAAAGATCAATGTCATTTGAATCAAAAAATTAATCTCTAGAGAACTTTTTATTTCCAGTTAAATGGCTTAATCCATTTATTACCCAAGTGGAACAACTGGCTAATGACACAGAGTCTGTCATGGGGGGTACAGGATGATTGACTTCATCCAGCTTACATTAAGGACCACATCAAGGGGCAGAGAGAGATGCCCATGTTCCCCCTTGCAGCAGCTTCCTTTTCTCCTTTCCCTCTGCTCTGGTATGGAAGGAATCTGAGATGACTCTGTACTAGAGGCTGTAGTCACAGCTTTCCAAACAAAAGGAATGGGAAATTGTATAAAATGTTGAATCCTTTCTCTTTCATTTTAAAATATTTTTAATAGTATTTTGTATGTCCCAAGTGTTAACTCTAAAGTTATGTTTGAGTTTTAGGCAGTGATGTAGTTTGCAATTATCTGTTCTTTTTTTGGGGCAGGGAATTGATTTGATTGATTAAAAACATTCATCAGACCTCTTTAATGCTATGTTTATAGCTATTAATTTTATGGGAACAGGAGATGAGAGCCAAATTGCCCATGTAATTTCAGTCTGTCCTTGAAAGTTACCCTTCTATTAGATTTTGAGGTCTTGTGTAGGGAAGCCTCAGGAATTGACTGTTACTGTTGCTTGCAACTCTGAATTTGTGTCCTATCAGCTTCTTTCGTGCAGCACCTTTTGCTCTCCTCCCATTCAAACTCCAACCTATATTTTCTCTTGCAGCTCCTTTATTTTGAAATATGCAACTTGCTTTTGTGTCAAACTCCATCACTTTCCAAGCTCTTCTGGGAGGCTGTTGCTAATACAGTCAGTATTAGGCAGAATTTTTCCCTCTGGTATCTCCACTTGTTTGTCAAGAAAAAATTATGTTCTACAACCTTCAGAATTCATCTATTAATTTACAAAAATGTTGGCTTTTCTTCTTTCATGGCTCAAGCAATAGTCTTATGTCTCTATACTCAAACAAACAAATCTCTTCTGGCTGATAAGTGACAAAAACTGTGGAAGCAGGTTCTTCTCTCACCTAAATTACTTTGGTTTCCTCAGTGTGTGCTGGAAACTTGAAATAGTGCTTTTGAGAGACAGTGCCTTCTGAGCTTTTTGAGTTATGTGTGTGTTTGGCCAGAATGGAATAAGAATCCCTTCATTTCTAGGAGAGGAAGAAGTGCATTTGAAATGTCAGACTAATTCAAACTGAAGTATTTTATTGATGAATGTCATGTATGACCTATGCAGATGCTCAGTCCTTTCTCATTCTGTGTTTTAGTCACAAGAGAAGTGTCAAGGGAGGATCAGTCCTAGTCATGAAGTGCCACATTTACTTAGATGTTCATGGAGTGTGCCTTTAAATATGGTGTGTGTTCAGTAGCAGCCTGTTGTAGGGTAAAAAGGCCTTGAGATCCATCTGAACAAGGCCAATTGTTACGGTTCACATTGATAGAAGAATCAAATAGGACAGAAGCTGTGTGGTTTGGTCACAAAACTGTTCTTTAAGGAGATCCCTGAATCAACTGTGAAGACCAGGCACTGGCATTATGGTATTTGTACTCTGAGAACTAGGGTGTAACACTGACTTTGTGCTTTCATCTTGACAGCTCAAGTATGCAGACCCGCCAACAGAGTTCCAGTGACCTCAATCCTCCTAATTACTTCTGCTGACTGGAAGAGACTGAAAGGAGAACTGCTACTTGTTATCCCTGACTTTAGGAATGGAAGGTTATTTTACTGAGCCAAAATAGTGTTTTTAAAAAAGTATTTGTTCCTTTTGATGTATTTATACAAATGATGCTAAAATTTTCATGTGTGTTTTGTAGAGGCACTTTAAGGAAGAGTCCATTTTAAAATTTAATAAAGGCACTACATATTTTTTTCATACAGCACTGCTCTTTCTTTTGCCCTCATTTCTCCACTAAAGCATGCTGAGAATGGACAGTGGAAAGCAGCAGTTGTGACTCACTGGCTTGACAAGACTGCTATAATAGAGCTTCACTCAGGCTGCTGCCAGTCAACCTGGCTGTGCTACAACACTAACACAAACCACCTCACCCTGCCTGAACTTGGCTCTGCTTTCTCTGGTACTCTCCTTGTAGCAAGATGAAGCTAGAGCAGTCCCAAGGCTGCTGCATTGCTCTCTGGGACCAGCATGGTCAGTGCCATACTGAGCAGCCTTCTGCTGCAGCTTCTCAGGAGCTGGGGAAATGCAGGAGACCTCAAATGGGGGAAATGTCAATTCCTTCTCAGTGGAGAGGCAGCCTTCTCTGCTCAGCCCCTGGGGAAAGTGCTTACTTTCTCATCTGCTCAAGGAAAGCCAGAGCCTTGTGCTGTAGGGGTTGGTGTAGCCCAGAAACCAATTGTATCCTGGGCTGCATCAAAAGCAGCATGGCCAGAAGGGTGAGGGAGGTAATTCTGCCACTCTACTCTGGTGAGGCCTGACCTGGAGTGCTGAATCCAGCACTAGGGTCTCCAATAGAGAGTTGGGATTGTTTAGCCTGGAAAAGAGAAAGCTTTGGGGTGACCAAATTGTGGCCTTCCAGGGCCTGAAAGGAACTTACACAAAAGATTGGGCAAAACTTTACAAGAACATGTAGAGACAAGACAAGGGGGAATGGCTTAAAAGTGAAAGAGTGTAGGTTTAGATCAGATATCAGGAAAAAATTCTTTGCTTTGAGGGTGGTGAGGCACTGGA